TAAAGAGCAGGTAACAATCTAGATATACATGAAAGAGCTAGTAGCACTGTATTTATGTGTGTTTGGTTCTCAGGAAATTTACTGAAAAACTCCTATCTTTGGTTACAAGGAATATAAACTGGTATGCATATACATATATGAGACTTGAAAACTGGTATGCATATACACAGCGGTAGGCAGTCCGAGTAAGGTAAGTAATGTGCTTATGCATATAAAGAAAAATAAAACACTTTCAATTTGTACAAGCTATGTCTATCACTTGGGCTGCATATTAAAAAAGAGTAGTATACACAATAACAGTTTTCTCATAGGCCTTTGTTATATATATTCACAGAAATTCATCATCACTACAACTAATGCAAAGAAAGTTAAAACCTAAGAAGCATGGATCTGGACACGCATACGTGACACGACTCAGACACGCTGATATTGAAATTTAAAAATTTTATAAACAAATTTAAACTTTCTTGTATTTTTCTGTGTTTTTTGTAAGAAACAAAAAGCTTAGTTACCATGTTACCATGGGATGGATAGAAAAATTACCTTCTTATAACTTCCATCACTTTTATGTTAAACAAACTCAGGATAGTTCTAACTTTTTTCCACCATTTCCTTCGCTTTCCACCACTTTCATCATATTAGCCTGATTAAGACAGATTTCCTCTAAAACCTACCTAATTGAAATTGGTTTTATAATTTTTCACCTGTATGAATGTTCAATGTTCACATAAAAGTATACCCTGAACATTACCATTAAAAAAAAAAGAAAAAGATAAGTGATGTGAAAATAAAGGGTAATCACACATTAGAATAACATGAAATATATTTCAGGATAGGATTTGTGACTCAAGACGACGTGCTCTTTCCTCACCTTACAGTGAGGGAAACATTAACATATGCAGCACTCCTATGACTTCCAAAGACATTGACAAAACAGGAAAAGGAAAAACGAGCCATAGACGTAATCGACGAGTTGGGCTTGGAGAGGTAAATTCTCATTTCTCTGCTATGCTATTATCTTGAATTATGTGTTAGCTAAAGTCAGATATAGCAAAAAATAGACCACACACAAATGAATCATACCTGTTCTCATGAGCTGATCAATGAGGAATATCAATGTGCTCAGGTGCCAAGACACTATGATCGGTAGCTCTTTTGTTCGGGGAGTTTCAGGAGGAGAGAGGAAGCGTGTCTGTATTGGCAATGAGATTATAATCAACCCTTCTCTTTTGTTTCTTGATGAACCAACCTCTGGCCTGGATTCTACAACTGCTTTGAGGATCGTTCAAATCTTACAAGACATAGCTGAGGTATATTGCATTTCAAGTCCAAAGCTTCAATTTCACATTATTATTAGCAAATTCATGATTATATATGACAACAAAAATAAAAATTATAACAATAAATCAAACCTATCTTCATCCCAACTTCTCAAGAGTTTTCTCTACCCACTATGCCATATCTAGGGCCACAGGTTGTACAAATCATCAGCAAATCATCTAGACAATGAGAGAACACATGAAGTAAATTATATGCTTATTTGAAACATCTGAGCGTAAACAACACATGGAGTAAACCATGTGGGGTAAAGTAAATTTTGCCCTTTTTTCATTAACTTTTTTTTTAGTACTCTTTTAAGACTAAATGAAGGGCTTGGGTGTTTGTTTGAGCAGGGAGGAAATGACTTTGAGATATATGACTCAGAGAGAACAGTGGGTCACACAGGTCAGCTGTATATTTCAACTTCTTATTACATTATTAAATACCATGGATTTTTCTATTTCCATGGCATCTAGAGAACCAAATGTATCATTAGTATAGTGTCATTACAAAGAAAGCTCCAATCAGACTTGGATGATTGCAAAACTGAATGGATCCATTTTCGAAAATAAATATAATTGGTGATATTCTCATACAATGCTGTAAATGATTTTTTACATAAAACAGAGTACTTGTTTTAAATGCTATGGAAAACAAAATGGAAAAAATGTTGCAACTTCAAAAGAAACAATTTCATTTGGATAATGCTGTAAAACAACATATATATACACATAATCCTCGTTTTAAATGATGCAATTCGGAGTTTCTAAACCCACCACACACTCGCCATGTTCATCTCTACACCTATATCCACAAATTTTTCTTCGTAACATACAAGATATACAATGCATATAGTGAGTGTAGAGAGAAAATAAGCGAGTGTATTTAGAAGCTCCGATGAATTCTTTTCATAAA